CGCAGTCAGCTCTGACAATCCGTAAGTTGAATTTACCTTATGCACACAGATTATTATTGTCTAGGTCGGCTAGTCATCCTCCGAAGTGGCGCTTTGTTTTGCAACGGGCGAGCGTTTGTGTCTGACTGCATGCCCTTCTCTTATGTTTGCTTGCTCCTCAGACCAGCTCGCATCACTTGAAGGCATCCTAGTTGTCACCATGCTTGTTCTTTATAGCTTGAGACCCAGTACTATCCTATCATGTCAAAATGCACTGATAGCACAGATGCATTACAAACAAGGCAATGCAATACATCAAACTGAAACTAGAACTGGGGCTTTTGCAAAAATCATTAAAGACCGGATTTAGGCCGAGATGTATTCCTCAGCTAAAAATGGCAATATCGGCCCACTTTTTCGTACTCGGTTTTCATATCTTCTGCTCATAATTTCTATCCAGAGCTCCGTCATATTTGTCATCTACTTTTCCGGCGATTAAACAAAAACAAACCACAGGAGATGTATGCAGGTAGCGATTGTTTTTGCAATAATGGGTGATAATTCACGGTTTTCTCACTCCTTTGTCTGGGCGGTCTCATTGCGTATTCTCCAGCAAGTCCTGTTTGTCAGCAGTTCTTGATAGTTTTATAACTTTCTAGCTGCCAGCTTGTTCTCTTGGAGTATCCCACGTTTATTAACACCTGGCTTAAACCGCAAGTTTTTTTTATCGTTATGTAGGATCTATTGCACATGTTGCATGTTGGCAAGATCACGTCTTTCCCTTTCTTCCAATAGCAGTTGGTTTGGGCTTCATGCATATTTTCAGGCACCTTACAGTTCGTGATTTCCGACTTCTCACAGCATGCATACAAGCTGAACATCTTATGTTAGAAGTACAGCCAGTGACCAATCTCGTGAAATGTTAATCGATTTTCTTAGCTGCGTTTTCGATTAAAGCGGGTTACTTAAGCGGGGTTGCAATCGCTGCCTATAGAAGCTGCACTGCAAAAAGCACAACACCTGAAGTAGTATGATTTTTATATTTATTCTCAATGCCTCTATAAAATACAATTTATAAGAAATATGCTCAAATATATCTGTTTTTGCGCTCACTTAGTAGCAAATGATGTCTTCTTCAATGTTGCTACCCGAATAATTCTGCACCCGTGCCACCGCCGCTGCATTTTTATTTGGGGTTTGGAATACACAAGCTGAGTACTTCCTATGTAAGGCATATGCTACAATCCGCTCTACCATTAAGAAGACGTCATGTAGGCCTTGCATACATTTGCACTTAGATAGGGACTGTTTTGTACACTTGGTAGGCCGTATTAATCAATGGTTAGTCTTTTGAATGGAAATTTCACAGCCTATAAAAGCTCATAATTACGAACTTTTGTAAAACCGAAATATACCATCTTTGCGAGTATTAATTTTAATCAAAACGCAAGTTTTTATCAAATAAGCACAGAAAAAGTTTTTTTTTAAGATTTAAAAAATAAAATACTTGAGTTTATAAACGCGTTGGTTTTCTTATCGCAGTTTCAGAATCAGGCCGAAAAGAATTACATTCATCGGATGGCATCTTGGTCTTACTGAACTATCTCGAGATTATGCTGCTTTTAAGTAATTCCTCCTAATGGAATTTCATTTAACATTCCACGGGTTTAGCCACTGACTGTAGAATGTTCCGTTTTAGCGCTTGTGATAGCGATGCTCTGAAAAATGAACAGTGAGAAATACTTGAGAATTTAAGTTGCTGAGATAGAAAACGCGAAGGTGCCCCCGCGGGAAAGGGAATCCCTACACTATTCTAAGGTACTTCTTGTAGTCTTATACCCCAAAGATCTGTTAGAGTTTAGCTGAGGAGCTGGACGTTGCGCATAATACGGAGTATGGTCACCTACTTGCGTAAAAGAAAACGTAAACCAGTATGCCCCACGACTTACTCGAACACCAAATAAAGACCTGATCGGAGGCGTCTTCTTCAGCATTATTACTACTCAGTAAAACCCCTTTTTCAGCACTCATTTTGGTGCGACTAGGATGGGTTTTGTAGGATAACGGCGAAAAGTCTACAGTGTGGGTCGATAAGCATGAAACGTCGCGATCTTTGTTGGAATCCGACGTCCACTCAAAGACCGGTCACTGTTTGGTAGTCTTAATAACTGCAAGTTCCTTAGATTTTTTTATCACTTCGTTAAAAAGAAGCTGGTTCACGGGTGTCACGACCCGCGCCTGGTACTTTTAGTTAGCACGAACGGTGAGTTGGCCCCACCGGTGCCCAAGGCCCGTACAAGAGGAGCAAGAGAAGGCAAGCGACCACGAGACGGCGTGTATTCACACAAGCACGTTAGAGCAAGTCGTTCTCACACAAAGGATGCATGCATTTAAGGGGCCGCGCGAGAGACATAGCCTGAGACAATGAGCCAATCAGAATTAAGCAGACAGCGGCTGGCCTCAGTGAGGTAGTTCGCGACACCTTTGTGTGTTTACTCATCATTGGAATAGCA